GAAGATGACAATGTCGATGGCTGCGAAAGGGGAGTGCTCGCAGAATGGGTGGGAGAACGGGCTCAGGGATCTGGTTCCTTTTCTTGATGAGTTGGATTTGGGCATGTTTCTTTGGTGCTCAAAGGCTCTGCAGAATTCGATCAAACTCCGGCAATTCACCATTTACTCAGTGATTCGGATCTCCTCAGCCTTCCAATTTTAACAACAAATTCAACAAAATTTGAAAGAAAGCAGATTCGTTTAATAGCACAGTAGTTCGGATTGAGGAATCCGATCCTGCCAAATCAAATCTCAGTCCGAGAACAGTAGTTCGGATTGAGTGATCCGATCCGATCAAAAAATCAAATCTCAGTACTAAACTCCAGCAGGTGAAATGAAATCAGAAATCCTATCACGGATTCAATAAACGACTCGCGAAGCAAGCAAAAAAAAAAAAAAGAAACCTGGATCAAATATATAAAAAAATCAAATCTGGAGCCGGGATCAAAAAGATCCTGAGATTTGATTCAAGAGTTCGATTGCAAATTCTAATCGCCGGCGGGGAGAAGAGAAAAAGGGAGGATTTTGGAGCGAAGTCGAAAATCCCAAGACGCGTGGAGAGCAGAGAGAGGAAGGGGGGAAAGAGAGGAGAAAATCTCGTCGTATTTATAGTGAGAGCCCACCACCGCAAAGCGCCGCATAGGATGAGGTTTTATGCGGGAGTTTACGAGCGCCCTTCAGATTCAGCTCCGGTAACGCACGCCTGAATCACGTGTTACGCGCCGGATCACGAGCGGGTTTTACATGGTTTGAATCTTGTGTATGAAATTCTGACTAATAAAAACAATATTAGTGATTTATTAATATTGATGTGTATACACTACACTCATATTTTTATAGCTCAGGTCATTGAGATATTTAGATCATAATCGAAGCCATGAAATTCTACCATGTTAGCTGCGGATAAGCCCTAATTTACTCATAGTACTAAAAGATAAATTGATATATTCGTTAGGTATACGCATGCATCCTGAGAAACCATATTCAAAAGATAAACTCATTTTTAAATATGAAAATGTTGATGTTAAGTGATCGCACAGTCAATTATATCCGTGGTTGGATATGGGTGAAGTTAATGACGGGGGCGCTTCCTTCGCCGAATATCCAGTTCTGAGGTGAGTGGCTGAAAAGGCTACACATATAGAAACTCGTGAGAGGACGAGGACTGGTTCCCCCATGGTTCCTCCGACGATCAAGTCAGCTGGTGGGCTTGAGTGGGGAAAGTGAAGAACTGTGAGAGTTCTCGTGTGTGCAGCATAATTTACTGATCTGTCTTAGAAGATCAGATTTTGTGAACCCTTTTTATGTTAGAATAGTACATATATTTATAATAATTTCAAAAGGACAGAACCGTTATTGTGGCGGAGCACACAAGATGGCAGTGAAGAAGTATGAGCTGGCGGCTGCATTGGCGCCTGCTTTATAGGTGTCGGTTAGCAACTGGAGGAGAGATCACCTCAGCATAAAACGAGAAGTGATCGGAAGTATGACGGTGCCTATGTGGTCCGATGAGTCATGAAGACTATCGGGGCAAGAGGCATGATGGCGTATGTCCAGCATTAAATGTGATGTTAACATGTTGTCGGTGGGAGAGGCTCGAGGCTAAAGTCGTCTTTTAGCTTTACCGAGAAGTAACGTCTTTCGAGTCATCCTCGTGAGGCGTCGAATAGCTGGGCGAGTGGGCTCGTTGTGAGTCGTCTTCGTCGAGAGGGTCGACTAGTACCGTCTTTCGAGTCGACGTGAAGGAATGTCCACTCGACGAGTCGGCTAAGTTGTAACCCTTGTTGGTTTTTGACCGTCAATTTGATTAAAGCATTGCATGCAGAAGTACACATGTCCGTTGCTAGCAAAGGGTTGCACTTATGTGATTGAAAATAACATAACAAGAGATAAGTTTTATTTCTCTCAAAAATTATTTGATATTTTCACTTTGATAAAAATGCATTTTAAAAAGAACTTTCTGGTCAGATCCATTGCAGCTCATATGCTAAATTAAATATAATATTTATGTAAAGCAAGCTTATTTTTAATTGTAGGAAATCATGTATGTCGTAAGTTAGATTAGGAAATTTTTAATCAATACGCAATGCATACAGATTTATTACGAGTCAACTTAAATTCAAGATATTTGAAAACTAATAAATTTTGTCACCTGATCCCTTCATGCTTCATCCCTCGCAATTGGATGACAACTTGGTTTTTTATTATTATTAAATGACAATTTGGTTTGATAAAACAAAAATTCCCTTCTTTGCGCTTTTTCTTTTATCAATAAATATTCTCCGTGTTCTTTACTCATTCTCGAGGCATCTAGCCATACAGTTGCCCTCGTCCTCTTCAATTGCCTCATAATTTTTTTGAGAGTGCTGCTACGGGGACCCAAAATATGGGACCAAGAGAGGGGACGGGTGAGGTGTCTCCTTCCTATTGCATAATGAGTTGACATGAGTTGGCATGACCAACTCATTATGCAATAGGGAGGGGACACCTCACCTGTCCCCTCCCTTGGTCCCATATTTTGAGTCCTTAAAATATTTTCCTTTTTTTGAATGGCTCCATAATGAAAACCCAAGGAACACTAACCAAGGAAACTTCCAAAAACAACTATAACTCTTAATTGGGCGAGAATTATAAAACTTTGGAAGTCTCCCCACAACTCTTGACGCTGAGAAAGGAAGAAGTCACGAGACTCGCGCCAAAGCATTTCGTTCCCCACTCGTTACTCGTTAGAAAATAGGGGGCCTGAAGCGGTGGTCATTTTCACAACAGTCAACGTTTCTATTTTCTACAACACAAATTGTGCGGTTTATACTTAAAAAAAAAACTTTGAGAGTAACCATTCATAAATGATAAGCAAGTTGCAACAAGAGGCTTGAATCATCCGATCCAACAAGAGTAAAAACGTAGTCATCAAGCAACGTCCACAGATGGGGATTTTATACATTAATCAAGATAGCCAAGCTAGTTACGCAATGTAAGCACCATGGTGATGCAACATCAAACGTTGACGTATCTTACATTTATTGGAAACGGTGAGCATTAGCAGTTGGATCATCTATTTTCTTATAGGCATGGTGCTTGCGAGATGCAAAAACTAAGGTCGATGATGGACCTCCAACTGCATTAAGGTACCCTCTTGCTAACGTTGTGATTTAGGAAACGAATTAGCAAAAAAGGGTATAAACTCAAGTTCTATCGTTCAACGTTTTCATCAAACTGTAAAAAAAAAAAATTTAAAAAAAAATTATAGGGTAAGTTACTAGGGGTGCTAAACCCTATCCGTATTCGAGAAAATATCCGTAACCGTATCTGTTAGGATACGAATATGGTTACTTAAATCTATAACCGATAGGATATGGTTATGTATATGGTTTTGTAGCGAAATATCCGTATCCGAAATATCCGAATACATATTAGTCATACTCTTACGATAGTTTTGATTATTAGATTATGGATTTGTGGTTAATTTTGATGATCAATATGTCTAATTTTAACTTTTCAATTATAATGGACATATTTACGAACTCTTTTGTATCACATGAACTACGTTTTTCTCAATACTATCTAGTTTTCTCATAACTGTTTTATATCCGCATGCATATCCACTTATATATCCGTAACCGTATCCGATTTTAGCGGATATGGTTATAAATTTTCCTTACCGATGTATATATGTATCCGTATCCGTATCCGAGATGGGTAAACGGATATGGATATGATAAGCATCATATCCGAACCGTATCCGGACCGAATGCACCCCTATAAGTTACACTAAAAACCCCCAAGAACTTTCAGTGTTTTCTGCAATTCCAAAAGCTATTGGGATTTTAGTGCAATTTTGCAAGCTATTGGGGGTTTACAGCAAAACACTGAGAGGTTCTTGGGGGTATGGTGCAATTTACCCAAATTTTATGATCAAGTATCAACATCAATCAAGAAAAGAAAAAAAATGGTTTTAGGTGCAATTGTACCAACATGCTGGTGGCCGGCAAACAATACAAAAGCACCAAACAGGAAAATAAAAAGTAAAAACGACGGTCAGTAATTACCAGTCCATGTCAACCCACAAGACTCGCTGAAATCTGCAGAGAATACGAGTCCACCACAGGAATTAATAGTAAGAAACCCAACAGAACCAAACAAGATCAGGTTAGGCCATCAATTTCAACCACCACTCATCATTATTGAAGGACCTTGAAGTATTGCAGAAGAACCTTTCAGGTCCGTTTCGTGAATCCCATGCTTCAAATCCTCACCAAGTCCATAAATACAGTGCACTCACCTGGTAATGCACAGATTCTATGAGAAAAACCATGTACGAGCAGAATGTTCTGAGCAGAATGTTCTAAGCCATACTGATGGAGTTATGAGGGCAATTTGGAGATCTCGTTGCTCCTTGAATGACTCCAAACACCAGCCTAGCCTAGCATGCAGGGTGTCCTGATAGGATCCGTGTTCCACCTGGTAAAGATGACTTGGAAATATTGGAGAACTTTAGAATAAAAAAACAAGACTAACAACTGTCAATTGAAAAGGAGGGAGGGAACAAAACTTGCATGGACGCGTACACATCAAAACAATCATTCAATTTTCCTTCAAGAACTTAAGAGCGTCTCAATTTTCTTAGTCAATTTTAAGTCATTAAATGCTACATGTAAAGGGGAGATTTTTTTTAAGTTAGAAACATCATCCATCCCAAATTTCTCCACATTACAAGGATCCGAACATCACCCCATGCTTAATAGAGAACTGTATGCAAAAGATTGTTGTGGAGATTTAAAAAAGAAAAATCCCAGTCCTTCGACAAAAATCTTCTAGTCTTCATCTTCAATCAGTAAACTTGATTTTCTTTGGAGCAGGCTGTTTCTCGCCCACCTGTGTCACAAACAGAGAAAACAGCATAAGCAATGGTTTTTCTGACTTCAAGAACTTGTTATTATACTATTGAAATTAATATCAGCTACTTGATTTAAAAGCTACAACCAGTTTATTTAAACAGTTACTAAAAATCCTTGTCTCTTTTGTGCAGCTGCACAAGACCTTGTTGCATTTAAGGAGCTGTTTTTGTTTGCATTAAAAAGTGTATGAAATAGGTTTCCATGCGTCCACGACATCCATGGAAATCTGAATGCAAAAAATGTTTATCTTTCCTCAGTTTGGTTGATTTGCTAATTTATGTAAATGGGCCTTTGAAAAGGCCTGCCACATCTCCAAATTCATGAAACCCATTTCAGGGTTGAAACGTTCGAAATGGATCAGATAAAAAAATTTACGAATAAAAAATTACATAATTTGCGTCTCTTTTCTTGCAAAGAATAAAAAGGTTTAGGGTTATTACACTCACCGCCCTCTCTCAATTTTTTCCCGCTTCCACCACTTTGCCGCCTCCATTGGAAAAACCTAGAGCTTAATTTGGGGCAAAATTGAAAGGGGTTCTCACTTCTCACTACTCTGCCGTCTCAATGCTTAAGATCCCGCTGGGCCTCTATGCTCTTAGTTCACTTGGGCAAGATTGAAGGGGGGTTATGTAAAATTTCTATGATCGGAGAAATGAAGTTCCTTTCTGAAATTTTCTAACCCTTGGGTAGCTTTCTATAATTTCCCTTGGGTGATTCTTCTGCTGACTAAGGGGGTCCTGTGAAATTATTGATGAGTTTATGATAATTTTTTATGGGTATGACCGTATGAGAAAGTTGCCAGTTAAGAATGTTGAGGATTCCATTGATATGTTTTGTTTTAGGTCAAAGATATAGATTGATTCTGTTGGTGTTTTTTCCATTCCCAATTATTTTGTTGATGCTGTAGAAACCATTCGTTTGATTCAGACTGAGGAAATATGTTCTCAAAGGTTGCTGCAGTAAGTAGATTGTTACGGGTAGGTTGTAATGACTCTTCATCTGTTCCATTTGGGTTTGTTTAATGTCCTAATAATATTCACAAAATATATAAGAAATCTCATTTGTTAATGTGATTATTCTATGTTCCATCCAAACTAGAGGAAAGATGGCAACCCATTTCAAGAGTTGATTTCATGGTGAACCAAAAATTAAAAAGTCATTTCCAAGTAAACCACTGAAAACTCCAAAAAATGGTTTCAGGTCGTGGAATTGATTTCATGTTTTTTTGGTAAACCAACCAAACAGGCCCTAATTTGCAACTATGTTTTCTAAGAATTGCTATTAGAAGAAAGAGTTGATTGTAACTTTAGGTCTAAGTATCTGTTGAAGCCTTAAATGCTGAAAATCCCAAAAAAAACGTTGTGTACTATTTAACTTGAAAATGCAAGCATGTGACATAGTTTAGTAGATCAAGAATTCATTTTCACACTTCTGTAGAGCACTTCAATCATAAAAAATGGAAGTTATATTTGTTCGAAAGCCACACTCAACAGAGAATGATTTCTGCTTACCAGTTCTGGGCATTCATAGTCAATGCCAGCAGCTTCAATCCGCTTACGCCTCTTCTCATCTCGTTTCAAAATTCCTTTTACCATTTTCTGATGTTCAGCAAGGGTTCTTTCCTGAAATGATAGCAAACCAATGATACAACCAAAATACTCCATTCAAAATCTCAAATTAACGTTATTGCTGAAAACTTCTTTTACCTTGTTATGACGCTTGCGCTCAATTTCCCTCGAATTCAATGGGCTGAATTTCCGATTTGCTCCAACCCATCTACAAAGAAAAACAAATAAAACATCCTCAACAGAGTTTTATAAATTTCACAACTACAATAGCATAAAGGCTTTCTTTAAATTTCTGAGATTCAGCTTCACATATCCTTTTTTCTCCTTTTAAGTTTTATCAAATTAACAGTGATCACATAGTTTATTATATGGTCTGCAACACGCATATTACTGTTGCTTAAAGAAATGAATCTACATGTAGCAAATTCCATAGATTGTTCATCCAGTAACATCAATGAGTTTTGACATACAACACTGCCCCCCCCCCAACGCCCCCACGCAAAAAAAAAAGAGAAAAAACCCAAAGAATTATATCTTGCAGGCAAACACTTGTAAACAAACACATGACTGTTTACATGCCAAATTCTACGGGTGAACTGTGAAGTTGGTTCTCAAGGTTTATTCCTTCAAGACATTATTCTTTTTGCAGTGCACTAATATTCATTGTGTAAACCAGCAAACATCACATATATATTGCTAAGACTAAAATCCAGTGCCCCAACAATCTCCTATGGATGAAGATAACCAGGAGGCAGGAGATAAACAGATATATTGATCCTTCCAAATAGCTATGCATAATATTCTCATCTATGCCCTTCCATGTGGAAATCACAATTTATATGCATTCTCCATGTGTTATTTTGTTAATGGCTAATACAACACTACAATTTAAACTAATCTCTTCATTCTTTTCATATATCAGACCTGAAGTAATATAAATTTATCTTATATTATAATGAGAAGAACGCAGGAAAAAACAATCCATCAATGAAATAATTAAAGGAAAGAGGAAAGAACTGAAATAAAGAAAAAGTTGAAGAATAGATTAAAAAAACGAGATGCATGAAACATAAAAATGCATATATACATCTATACACGACAGAAAGCTACAAAAAGTTATAGAATAAGAAAAAAAACATATCGTACAGCAATTAATGACCTAGTTTCATAACTATCATTTAAAAACCAAAGTACTAAAGTATAGAGATAAATGCCATAAAAGGTCATAACCAGTAGCTAGCAAGTAAATACTAATCAATAACATATTCAATTATTCAATATATGTTTACTATATAGGAGACAAAGTAATACATTAGAATCTAAGCAGATTGACCAATCATTTGGAAACGCCGTAAGTTGAATCGAACTAAAACACAAGGGAAAACGGACCAAAAGCAACTAAAATCAAAATAAATTAATAAAAGATGGTTTTGCATAAAAAAGGAGGCATTTTGAGAAAATAACAGTGCAACATTTCAGTGAACAGCTTTGTCAACACTCAAGTTCTGATGATTTTTTGTTGCATAGCTGATATACTTATGGAAGTTATTAGATATTGGTCCTAAAAAAATGCCTACGTGGGAAATAGGTCCCCAAGAAAATGAAATTATAGAACAAGCCACCCCCCCCAAAAAAAAAAAATTGTTTAATTTATCCTATACTACCTCTGTCGCTTTACTCTGTCATCAACAAATGTCCGTTGTTGTTCACAGCTATGTTTCAACTTCACAGCTGATGTTGCTGCTTGCTCAATGTCGGTTTCCATCCCCCCCCCCCTGGAGGGAGAGGGTGGGGTGGAGGGGGATAACTCAGACGGGTTAACATTTTCGGGGCTAGTTAACCTAACCTGAGTTTGATTTAAATAGAAACCACCAATGTGGACATATGTGGTGTAAGTTAAAAAAATTGGGGACCTATATTACAATACCGTATTTTAGCAAACCTGTTTCAAATTACAGATTCTTTAGGGGGCCAAAACCTTAGAACCTTATTTAATATTATGTATTGTTATCAGCAAAGGATTAGTAATACTGATTAGATATATCAATAATACTGATTAGACATATTAATAACACCTTAGATAGGTCTGGTCACTTTCTAAAAGGTCTAATGACACTGCAATATGTTGATCATTTTTCTCGTTGTCTATAACTTTTGTTTATCGTCTAAAGACATTTCTACTGCAAACCGTTAGCAAGAGGCCAAAAGCACACTAAACGAATTCTATATCCAATATATTTCTGACTCCTTGACACATAAAAGATGATATTCCACCATAAGCATAACGGAGCTCATTAATTTAAATTTGCATCTTCAAGAATTTTCATGTCTTCTTATTTGACCATAACATGCTGATATACACTGCTCGTTACCATATTAATTGGCTATATCACATGAATAGGTTCTTTAGAATATGAATTTCAAACTTACAACTTTGGATGAACACGTTCTGGAGGCATAAGCTTCACTTGAAGATTGTGCTCAAATAGTAGATAACCATTAATCTCATCAGCTACAACCTTGGCAACCTGCAGATTACAATTTCCAGAATATACTCCACAAATTTGAAAAGAGTAAAAAAGATAAAACTCCAATTACATATAAAATCACGTACCTCTGGGTTCTCAAACTCAATGAATCCAAAGTGCTTTGATTTTCCAGTCTGCCAATCAGTGAAAAGAAACTCATCATAGAGCAGAACAATATAACTGCTGCTTTTTCAGTCAACTAATAACTAAGCAAATGGAAATCATAGTCCCAAACAACAGATAGTCTAGTCCAAATGATACGGTAATAATAAAACAAATAGGGTATCGATAATATAAAGTTACATTTTTCCTCGATATGCATTTCATCACTAATACCATCGGAACATGAACAGAGGTTCTTTACTAGAATAATCCTGTTTCAAGCATATTATCTTCTAAAAGGACTCACATTCTATACTTTATATGTTACTTTAAAAACCTGCTAGAATTTCCAACATGTTACTTTAAAAGAACCATATGTTACTTTAAAAACCTGCTAGAATTTCCAACATGTAAATGTAAATGCACTAATAAAGAAATTTCAAAGTAATAGGACGCAAAAGAACTGCAACCAAAGTAGATAGATATGGAACAACCCATCCACATGCCTATTATTCAATGAGAGAAGTGAGTAGCAAACTTGAAAAACCGTATCTTTGTTTGGAATGGAAAGGTAGCCAAAAGACTAACTGTGACTAACTTAGGACACAATATATCACACGAAGTACTGCATTCTAAAACATGAAGATTCGAACACCATATCATGCATCAAACTTGGGAGTTCAAACACAGTATGTCTTTATCAAATTCTCCGTCTTAAAGCTCAACCACAAATTAGACCCTACTTATGTTATGAGCCATGCCAAGTTTCCATTACCCGGCATAAGAAACCGCCACAAATAAGCACTTCACTTCACCTGTTGCCACCAACTTTGGAAATGTGTTAATTCCAGGTGAGAGTAATCTCCAAAAGGGGGGAAAAGAGGAAGTCCTTAATAACAATTATCAACTAAGAGATGTGAAAAGGTATATAGGTATCAAATAAGAGATGTGCAAAAACCCATAATAAAGTGTTTTTCTAGCTTAATGTTCCAATAAAACTGGCAAAATCAACATCTAAATCAAGCCTGTGTGCTTGTCTACAGATGCAAATAAACCATGATTTTAAATGTTAAAAAGAAAAGTATGAAAAAAGGGGCAAAGAGAACATTGACAAATGCACCCCTGATCATAACATCATAACAGAAGCAACCTAGGAAGAATTAGGCAATATCCATATTAACTCCGATACCCCAGATAACGTTAGAATAAAATCATCTTATCCATTTAAAAGAAAACAATAAGTTTGATGGCCTTACATATATCTTACTTAATAAAATAGATACACAACAACAAGAGCAATAATAATAATAATAATAATAACAACAACAACAACACTGATTTTACAGCCTTCATCACAAACACCGTAGTAGCAAAGCAGATATTTTCCTAAGTTCACATCCCACAGTTATTAAGATACCATAACAAGCATTTCTAGGAAACAAAAGAAAGCAGCAAGTAAAAAAAGACACCTTTCGGTTTCTCGCAATCCTAAATCTCTTGATCTTGCCAAATTGCTTAAAGAAGCCTACACCAAATAGAGTGTAGGTTAAAAATCGAATAAAAATGTGAACATTAACAATAATAAAATTAACACTAATTCAAATCACCTTCGATTTGCTCCTCATAAAACCCATGAGGTATACGGCCAATGTACAAAACAGTCGCCGTATTCTCCACAGGTTCTTCAGGTATTCTTTGGCCTGGACCCCCTTCTAACGGCTACATAAAAATTTACAAATGCATGAAAAAATAAATTAAACAGAAACAAATCCAAGACCCCGCAAAAAAAAGAGTTTTAACGTTTAAAAATATCAAAAAATACATACCAAAAAATCAGTAGGCTCATTCGTACGAAGAGAAACAGCCTTCTTTAGGTTCTTCTTCAACGCCTTCTTCGCTTTCGCACCCATCTCGATCCTTACAAACTATTGCAAAACACGAACATAATGGAGAAATTAACAATAAATAGCGAAGTACTACGAACTGAACCTATGAGATTGATTAAATCTCGAATAATTAAGAAAACAAAAGCACCTGAATTCGAGAGATTGAGGTGAGGGTTTCGGGTTGGGGGCGTTTAGGGTTTTAGGCGTGAAGGCAAGAGAGATATTTTACGCTGGCTCTGATTGGCGGCTAGTAGTGGGTAGCAAAGGCTTCGGGTCGGGTCATAATTGAACCCATATAAGCTTAACCCGTCACTACCCATTTAATAAATATGTCAATATCACCCGATCTATTTATTAAACGGGTCATCTGATCTCATATGTGTAACCTGAATAACCCGTTTATCCTTACTACATTTCTCCCCAAAAAAGAATCCTCTACATTTCTCTTTTCCTTCTTAAGATCTTAATCATCCAGGACACGTGACAGTTGTCTCCAATGGGAGATAACATCATTTAACAAAAGAAGATCAAGCGGCATAAACTCATTACATCTTGGCAGAAGATTTTTCCGCCAACAAGATGAGCACTAAGTTGCGAATAACCCTAGAATAAATAAAAATTTTTGCAACGAAACAAAGTATGGATTAAACCCCAATTCAAATTATGAAATAGAACCAATTTATTCAATTCATACTAGATAACTTGTTGTTTGATTCCAATAAGTGTTTGGGCATCAAATTATCTAATTAACGCAATGTGGATATAAAATTGTCAAATTAGAACTTTAGGATGAAATTGATATATTCAAATGAAAACTAAAACAAAAGAAAATTGGAGCAACAAACAAGCAATGGGCTAAATCCCAATTCAATTTCATACTATAATACTCTTCGTTTGAATCGAAAATTAGGGTTTTAAGTTGAATATCTAAAGAGCTACAGAGATCACCACCAAATACTCTATTGTTGAGAAAGCTCTCACCGTCGCCGCTTGCTTCCGCTCACCACCACTCTCCTCCGCTCACCGCTCGCCGCCTCCAGCCGCCACCCGCCGCCGCTCACCTGTGTATAAGGCTAGGACTTTTGGAGATGAGAGTCGAGGGGTTTGGGGATGAGAGTCCGATGCTTTTTGACCCTTAGCAGGTTATTGTTTGGTGTAATTTTGGGGATAAGTGGGAAAATTTTTTGGGATTTTATGGTGTTATTTGTTGGGATAATGGGATTGAGATTTCACTTTACGATGTTATTCATTGAGACAATGAGATTTGGACAATTAACTCCACTTTTCCTAAAATTATCTCACTTTTATACAAACTTTTTATCCCAAGCTCTAAAAATTACCTCATTCTTAACTTTGAGACAATCATGAGGAAAATGAGATAATTTTGAAGTACTAATTTACTAAATATCTAATATATATTAATTGTATTATAATATATAATATATTTTAATTATATTATATTATAAAATGTTATTATAACGTAAGATAATAAAATATTATATAATAATATCTAATATAACATTATTATATATCATTATTACAATTGATTAATAATATTTCATATAATATTAGTATTATATTATTATAATATTCACTTTGTATTATTTAGCATATATTTTATTAGTTAGAATAAAATATTGTTGTAGTGTTTTTATGATATAAAATATGTTTTATAATATAAATTTTATATATTTAATATAATAATATATTAATTATATTATACTATAAATTATTATATAAAATAATTTATTATTTTCTATTATACTTTATTAATTAATTAATAGTTTTAAATATATGTCAATATTTGTAGTTATAATATTAAATAATATTTTATTACTATAATAAAAATTATAATAAATTACATAATATTATAAGTATAATAATATATTAAATTCTAAATATGATATTATATTATTTCACAATTTTTTTTTGGGTTAATAGTAATTGAGCATTATTAATTACTATACTTTTTTAGTTAATAATATTGAGCATATTAATACTATATTATTTAAAATATTTTTAGTTAATAATATTATAATATATTATTTAAAATATTTTTTAATTAATAATATTGAGCATATTAATACTATATTATTTAAAATATTTTTTAGTTAATAATATTATACTATATTATTTAAAATATTTTTAGTTAATAATATTGAGCATATTAATACTATATTATGATTATTATAAATATTATATTTTAATAAGGAGCCATGTCATCAACTATTCTATTTAAATTATAGTATTATCATAAAATAAAAAAAAATACTAATTTTTAATAATAATATAATATTTTAAATAATGTTATATTGAACTAAATAAAATATTATAATATTTGATTAAATATTATATTATTGAAATATTATATTAAATATATTGTTTGTATATTATATCAATTATTATTCAATATTTCATATTATTATAATATATTATATTATTATAATATGTTATATTATATTAATTAATAGTATTGAATATAGTTATAATTAATTAGTAATTATAATATAATATATTATAGTTTAGTATAAAGTAAAATAATGTATTATATTATAATAACATAACAAATAATATGCTAAACCAATTAGGTAAATTAATTTAGACTTAATTGATAGATAATATTGTACTTTAATAAGTGTCACATCATCAATTATCTCATATGAATAGTCAAATCAAAGTTTTAAATTGTCCTATTATCCTAAATTATCTCACTTTACGACATTCAAAATATTCCAATGGGATAAAATTATTCTATTGGAACAATTATCCCACTTAGCCCCAACTTGTCCCAACCAATAACTCCCTTCAGAGTTTTAAGTCCATCTGTTCTACCCATTTCATATACGTGTAATAAACTGGTCAACCTGGGGCAACCCTAATTAATCAATCTAATAAACAGGCTCATTCGGGTTGATCAGTTTATGACCCGACCCATATAATTTGACCAATATCCGTTATAAACAGGTTAGGGTCGGATACGGTTGATGGTTTAGAAAATAAATTGCCACCCCTAACTGCCAAGGCTAAGTGCTGACTTATGCGGGTCGAGTCAGATCGGGTTGGGCCGAGATTGTTTGGTGAATTTAACTTGAACCATGCAAGGTCCAATGCTTTTGTGCCCTATTTGTGAGATCTCATTCCTTATTTTCAAGTGAATGGATAATTTATTTTCATTTTTTCCAGATTTTCTAGGCACGTAAGAGGTTTCATTGATTTTTCCAAATATGAGAGCATTTTTATTGATTTTTCAAGTAAAAGAGTCTTTCCGTTGATTTTTTTCCCAAGAATAAAGATATTCATATTGAATTTTCCAAGTGTGAGAATATTTGTTGACTTATGCAAATGTGAGGGCTTTTGTTCTGGGCTATTTGCTTTGATAGACTGATAATCATATTTTATTATAATTTTATATTCTTATTATCTATTTTATATGAATAAATATACCACTAATAATTGTTTTTTATCTTTAATTACAGGTTAATCAAAAAATAAAACCCAATATCTCTTCTCTCAACAAAAACCTGTGAATTAAATGAATAACACAAGAAAGAGCCAAAAAGCTCAATCCCAGAATCGAGCCGAGTAGCCTGTAGAAGCCGAAGAAAATAAGAAAATCAAATATGAAAAAAAAATGTATCCAAAATGGTTGGCCGTAAAAAAATGATAATATCTCTCAATCCGGAAGGCGGAATTTAACATATAATATATAAAAATCGTCTATCTCAATGAGACGAAACCATCCGTGAAGGCAGAATTTTGATAGGACATCGATGTTAGTATCGATCCCGGCATTAATGCCGGCATCGATGTTGACAGTTCTGTTACGAATTAAGGGCTGATTTTTGATGGTTTTGGATAAGATTTCAATCCAAGCGCTCACATTTATTGATGTTTACTATAAATAGGGGTAGAGAATGAGGGGTTAATGGTGTGAAAAATTTTATAACTCTATTTGGAGAGGAGTGCTACTCTTAATTGAGAAGACCTTCCAATTTTATAACTTTTTGTTACAATCAATTAAAGAATTTTTTTTCACCTCTTCATATTTTTTTTCTTCTCTTTGATGATGAAGATGAAGATTAAGAGTGAGGTTTGCTTTCATCTTGAGACTAGAACCCTCTTGGGTGGTAAATTTCTTCTTTGTTAATATTTTTATCTTTTTATTTTCTTGCTTAAATAGCCAAGAGGCTAGAACTCTCTTGCCTTAGATTTATTTTATGCTTATATAGTAGATTTATTTTATGCTTATAGAGTAGATTTATTTTCTTGTATTTAATTCTTACAATTTATTTTGTAGTTTAGTTTTTGTAATTTATTTTGTAGTTATATTTTATTTTCTTATACTATTCACCTTAGGCTAGAACCTTCTTAGGATTAGTTTTTATTTTCCTTTATTTTCATATTTTTTGATTCGCCTTGAGGCTAGAACCCTCTAGGGAATTGCCTTTTCTTTTGAGGTGGGTTTAATTCTAGATTCCTCATATCTTTAATTGAACCCACGTTCTTTTCTTTCTTTATTTTTCCTTTTCTTTTATTTTCTTGATTTTTATTTCCTTCATTTTCTTTTCTTTCCTTGTGAATTCATTTATTCTTAATCTATCACTCTCAATATCATTTTTCACACACAATTATTCTCATTCTCTTCATCTCTCCACAATCACATCTATCATCACTCCTAATTGTCACGCACACAACATACGAACTAATTCTAAATTTCTCCTGTAAACACCTTCATCGTGGGATCGATAACTTTTTATACTATAACTTGATTAATTGTGTACTTGTAATTTTTGATATATATTTATGCTGCATCATAGACATACTGAAAGTACGGAATAAATAAAAATGTAACTTCTAAATTTATAAAATAAGAAGTGTTGGGAGTAATGCTTTTTTATTTGTTTTGCATATTTTTAAAGTAGTAGAAATAATACTTCTTATTCTTCATTCACCTTTTTTCTCTTTTTTTTGATAGCAATGAAAAATTGTTAGGAATTAACTTATAAAGGAATTATTAATTTAAAAATTTATTTATTTCCTAATTAATGCATATTTTACCTACATGCAGGTTGCATTCTAGCTTTGAGCGGCAGAATTATTTTTAGGATGTATGGATGACATGTAGGCATCATATCAAGGTTTATGAAAATATTAGAAATAGGTTTTTCAGAGAAACAAACATGCTTTTTTTGCTCAGAGTAGCAGCAGTAGCCTTCACTTCCTTTACTTCAGTTACTTCGTAATTACTTTTACAAACAAACA